TCGTTGCTCGCAACGAGATCGTATCTAGTTATTAGGGTCTTACGTCTCCAACGGAAGACCCTTCTATTATTCTATTGTTTCTTTTTCACTTTTATTATTAGGGTCTTCCGTCTCCAACGGAAGACCCTTCTATTATTCTATTGTTTCTTTTTCACTTTTATTATTATTATTATTATTCTTTTTCTTCTTACAATTTTTGTGCAGAAGATTTCTCGGAGATGGCTCGATCAATCAGCTTGAAATTTTTAGGAAAGTTGTGTCGTCAACTAAACCTGATCCGTTTTTCTCATTTTTTCGAAAATCACTTCCGGTCGGAAGTTATTGCCCTTTAATCGAAATTTAGAGGACCTCCTTGTCATCACCAGAACTCAAGAACGGCTTACGCTAGAACACTGAAATTTTTACCAAAGATAAAGGACATGTTGCCAATATGCACAATGGTTTTCAAGTTTTCCGGAAATGCCTAGTATGGAAGCTCGGTAGGGGTCAAAATTTAGGACACGAATCATGGCTGAATTTTTGAGACATTTTGCATCATATCTTTTAAAATATAATTATTTTGTTAACACATATTGAGCAATTTTTGCGCAAAATGACAGGATCTTTGATATGATATCAAGAAAAAAGTGCTGACTCATCACATTAGGGGCCGAGAGGGGCTTAAAGTCTTTTTTCGATAACTCTTTAACAGTCAATATTTTGTTATACATTTTTGAAGCAAAAATGTTTATCTCAACATTTTACAACTATATATTATGATTTTAATGTCGTATAATACATGATTATGGGCCAAAAGGGGCCAGAATGCTAAATCTTTGATGCTTTATATCTCGAAAGTGAGAAATATTTTGACAAGTAATATTGAACAAAAGATGTTCAAAATCATGTTCTAAACAATATGCAACCTTTCATTTTTCGCTAAAAGTCCCCATTAGGGAGTTGAAGGGTTGACCCCTAAATATTTCTTTTGCGAATAACTCGAAAACGAAAAAGAATCTCTGAATAGTTATTGAACAAATAGTGTTCAAACTCCTAAGAGCTTCAAGATGAAATCAAGAAAAAGGGGCTGGGCACTCAAATTAGGGGCCGAGAGGGGCTTAAAGTCTTTTTTCGATAACTCTTTAACAGTTTCTTCTCCGGTACTTTTTTTGTCCGGAAGTGTTCTCAGAAACTGTTCACCAAACTAAGTTAAAACCTTTTTAGGGTTAGTAGGCATGTTGTGTAGATGTGCCGAACGAAGGTCATTTTGCGCGCATTCGCATGCACGTGCGGGCGCGTGCAGTGAGTAAAATGACTGATATATTTAATATGGTTTTAACTTTTATATTTTTTGATAAAAAGTTTTTGAAACTCATTACATGAAGATATATAAGTTGTGTAGATAAGATGACATGGTCAAATTTGCTCTGATTGGCTGAAACAGAAATCTCAATATCTTTTTTGTTTTATGATGAAATGCTTTGAAATTTCTAACATAGACATGCATTAGGATGTACTACAATATGATATATAAAATTTTTAATGAAATCACGCGCATGCGCGTGCGCTGCAATCTGATTGGCTGAAACTTTAAATGAGTATAACTCCCTTGGTTTTCAACCAAGCAGCATGGGATTTACAACATAGATAGACATAAAGGACTCCTACAGGATGGTATGGTCACCATTCACATGCATGCATGTGCGTGCACTTGCGCTTTGCTCTGATTGGCTGAAACAAAAATCTCAATATCTTTTCTGTTTTTTTACAAAATGCTTTGAAATTTAAAACATAAGCATACTTAAAAATGTCCTACAATATGATAATAATTGTCATGGAAAAACGCGCATGCATGTGCGCTGCAATCTGATTGGCTTAAACCTTAAATGGCTATAACTCCCTTGTTTTTCAACCAAACAGGATGGGATTAAGAACATAGACAGACATAATAGACTCCTACAAGAAGGTATGGTCATCATGCACGTGCGTAAAATAGTGTAGACAAGATGATATAGTCATTACGCTCATGCAATCACATGCTCACGCCTGCATTGCTTAAATTTGAAATACTTGGTATACTTTTGGAAAAACGTTGTTTACGTCTTAAATGCATAGATTTTGCCTTCTTTAATGAAACTTACAGGGAATATGGCACGAGAAGGGAGTTTGGGAGCGTTTGGGGAACATCTGTAACGGTTCCCGTTACAATTAGCACTAGTTATTCTTTTTTTTTCTTATTTGTTCTCCGGTACTTTTTTGTCCGGAAGTGTTCTCAGAAACTGTTCGCCCAACTGACCTAAAACCTTTTTAGGGTTAATGGGTGTGTAGTGTAGGTGTGGGGAACGAAGGTCATTTTGCGCACATACGCATGCACGTGCGTGCGCATGCAACACGTGAAATGACTTATATACTTAATATAGCTATAACTTTTACATTTTTTAATGAAATGATTTTAAACTCATTATATAAAGATATATTAATAGTGTACATAATGTGACACTGTCAAATTAGCACGAACTCACGCGCATGCACGTGCGCTGCGCTCTGATTGGCTAAAACAAAAACCTCAGTATCTTCACTGTTGTTTGACGAAATGCTTTGAAATTTAAAACATATTCATGAATAAGGATATCCTACAATATAATATAGAAAAAGTTTCATGAAATCACGCGCATGAACGTGGGCTGCGATCTGATTGGCTGACACTTTAAATGACTATATCTCCGTTTTTTTTTTATGAAATGCTTTGAAATTTAAAATAAAGTCATACATTAGGATGTCCTGCAATATGATATACAAAAAAGTTCAAGAAATCACGCGCATGCACGTGTGCTGCGATCTGATTGGCTGAAACTTTAAATGATTATATCTCCTTTGTTTTTTGACGAAATGCTTTGAAATTTAAAACATAGTTATTCATTAGGATATCCTACAATGCCATATAGATAAAAAATCATGAAATCACGCGCATGCACGTGTGCTGCAATATGATTGGCTGAAACTTGAAATGGCTATAACTCCCTTGTTATTCAACCAAACAAGATGGGATTCAGAATATAGATAAATAAAAGGGACTCCTACAAGAAGGTATGGTCGTCATGCACGTGCACGCACGTGCGTGCATTTGGAACGAATGAAATTAGAAATACACTTGAATGAGTGATTTTTGATACTTTTGGACTGAATGCTTTCACATATAGTATATTACAGTGAATATGGCACTAAAAGGGACTTGGGGAGCGTTTCGGGAACATCTGTAACGGTTCCCGTTACAATTAGCACTAGTTATTATTATTATTCTTTTTTCTTCTTATTTCTTCTCCGGTACTTTTTTGTCCGGAAGTATTGTCAGAAACTGTTCACGAAACTTAGTTAAAACCTTTTTTAGGTTTAATGGGTGTGTAGTGTAGGTGTGCGGAACGAAGGTCATTTTGCGCGCATACGCCTGCACGTTCGGGCGCGTGAAATGAGTAAAATGATTGATATATTTATTATGGCCATACCTTTTACATTTTAAGATGAAATGCTTTGAAACTCATTACATAAAGATATATTAATATTGTTAACATCATGACACTGTCAAATTAGCACGAACTCTCGCGCGTGCACGTGAGCTTTGCTCTGATTGGCTGAAACAAAAATCTCAATATCTCTTTTGTTTTTTGAGAAAATGCTTTGAAATTTTGAACATAGTCATGAACTAGGATATTCTACAATATGATATCAAAAAAAAAAAATTCAAGAAATCATGCGCATGCACGTGTGCTGCAATTTGATTGGCTGAAACTGTAAATGGCTACATCCCCTTTGTTTTTTGACGAAATGCTTTGAAATTTAAAACATAGTTTTACATTAGGATATCCTGCAATATGATATACAAAAAAAATTTCATGAAATCACGAGCATGCACGTGTGCTGCAATCTGCTTGGCTGAAACTTGAAATGGCTATAACTCACTTGTTTTTCAACCAAACAGGATGGGATTTAGAACATTGATAAATATAAGGAACTCCTACAAGATGGTATGGTCATCATGCACGTTCATGCACGTGCGTGCATTTGGAACGAGTGAAATTAAAAATACACTTAAATTAGAGATTTTTAATACTTTTGGACTGAATGCTTTGATATATAGTATATTTAAATGTATAGATAGTGTGAACAAGATGATATGGTCATAATGCACATGCATTCACATGCGCACGGGTGCAATGCTAAAATTTGAAGATAATTGGTATGCTTCTGGGTAAATCTTGTTAATGTCTAAATTACCAGAATTTGTCGTATTTAATGAAGCTTACAGGGAATATGGCACCAAAAGGGAGTTGGGGAGCGTTTGGGGAACATCTGTAACGGTTCCCGTTACAATAAGCACTAGTAATGTTTGCAGTACTTTGGTTCAATTCAAGGGGGGGGGGGGGTATGTGGCCAACTTTTTCGAGGCCAACTTCCTATCGATTCCAATTTTTTCCCTACAATCCTTGATATCATTATACTATGGTATAAAGTGGGGGGGCCAACCATCCTTTCAATGAACATTTACTATAGTAAAGGTAATGTTGGGGCCCCCCGGTTGCTACGTCCCTGGAATGATAAGAATTAATTGTCATCAAAATGAAGATTTGGACTGTCAAAATGAACCACCTGCAGATACCCTCCATCTTGGTCACTCTATACTGCCAATAGCAGAATAGGCTATGCTGGAAGCCGCGGTTCAGAATGTAGAAAATATATCTTTGTGTCATTTGCAGCTGTAGAACATATTCAAAACAATTTTTACTGTTGAAAAACGTTTCTTTTTTTGACCATGCACTATTACCACGACATTATTATCCGGAGGGTCGTGACAATTTCCTTTCATATCTTACATACTCCCAGGCTGGGGAGAATGTATTTAAACTCTTTTTTTATAAAAAAAAAAAAAATATCAGTTATCATTTCTGTACATATAAAATAATATTTATGAAGACAATCCTAGAAAGACTCTGTTTTATTAAAATTGTGTTTTTCGTCTAAAAATCAAAAACGTATATAATAGAACTGTCTAAGAAAAGTAAACTTTGATAAATCTCTGAATACACAGGCCTGTGATTGGTAATACATGTAATCATTTAACTTTTTGATTTCATTCATTTTAGGCAAGTATCAGGAATATCCAGAAGTCGACAGAAGTATTATTTACAGTTTACTGTTTTGTGACAACTACACTGCTACTGTAAATAGGGAGGCGTTCAAGTCAATATTGATAAAGATACGAGAAAGGTATTACCAAAGGATTTCTCCCTCTGATGAAGTTGTTGTGACATCCCTTCAAGATGATGTTAAGGAAACCCAGAATGGTGAGGTAACGTTTGTATCAGACGACATCCGACATGACGTCATGTATGCCTTTGTTACGGAGTGTCTGGTGAAGGACGGTGATCTGGAGTTTTTCCTGACCACGGCGTCACGTGACGTGATATCAGAATACTGCCGGTCCTGGGGGTATAAGAGGAGTGAGGGAGAGAGATGTCTTTATGTACCGTACAAACCGGAGAAGATGTGCCACCTCTTCATAGGCAGTCTACAGCTGGACATCATCACACACTGTACCATGTCTGACGGGAGGATTCATAGAAAGATCAGTAAACGTTGTAAGTATTATTTCTGTATTATACCTAAAATAATAATTCACAAGGTTAGCTTTAAAAAATAAAAAGCTGAGTGTCAGCCACTGGAATACAGAAAATTTCTGTATTGTTTTGTGATTGTAAATGATTTGTATTATCCATCATGTTTTGTTCCTTAAAAAGCCATAATTGTAATATAAGTTTTAAAAATTCTCCTATAATCGTTTTCTTGTTTGTAACGTAATGTTGTACATAATAAAGCATAGACTAAATATTTAAACTGCATCAAAGTCATTATGCTCACCTCTAATAAATTCACTCGGCGCGGCCATCAGAGGAAGGTCGTCTCATACCGGTAAATGAACAAAGCCACCATGGCCACCAATATCCTTTTAGATTCTTTAAAAGGTATGATGGGCCTTAGATTATGCAGCGTAATTTAAATCGAAGGTAGACTTTGTGGTAGATTGTTTTAATTACTATTTAATAAAAGTTTTGAATTGTGCGGTTTCGAAGTAATGTATGATGTGTTGGGGAAGTGGGGGGGGGGGGGGGTCACATAATTATATATACTCAACAAAATAAGAAACGCATAATTTTAACTCATCAAAAAAATTTTGAAAAAGTATATTAAATACCTGTGACCTGTTTAAAGTACACCATGGGCTTTTAAACCCCAAATGTTGAGTTATTTCCCTTGATCAATAATATTGATTAAAATAGTGTATTGCATGATTTCTTGTAAATCAGGGGCCTATTTTCAATGAAATTTTGGATTTAAAGAAACGAAAATCACTCCTATTAAACCCATATATTTGCTTTGCTTGGAATGTTGATGCTGCAATGCTACACCTTAACAAAGATGAACGCAGTAAGGCTCTAACAACGATTCTAACTGGAACTACGCAACTGCAAGTTGCAACTGCATTTGGTGTACATCAATCGGTTTTGCAGCAGGTAAACGCACGTCTCCACCAGCTAGAAACACAGATGACAGACTTAGCACTCGCCGTTCGCAGGTTACCACACCCAGAAAGGACCGTCAGATCCTCCATCAGCACCTGCGCAATCGACTTGGAACTGCCGTACAAACTGCTGAAATCAGCATAAAATGCACAAATTGTTCTCAAAAAGACTGAGAGGAACTGATATTCGTGCACGACGTCCGTACGTGGGAATTCCACTAGCTCTGAGATGTCGCAAAGGACATATGGATTGGTAAAGACGTGTGCCTCTAGAATTTAGAGGCGACGACAATGACATCAACTTAACTTGTCAATTTGACATAGAACTTATTTGATTTTTATCACAACACACTCTAAAATGTTTAATCTGAATATGCGTTTCTTTTTTTTTTTGTTGAGTATACATGTACTTCATGTATATTTAAATCAATGTCTATGTTTAAGCATTCATTTTTTTGTTATTCGGAAAGAAAAGACTTGCTTCCAAGAAATTAATGAAATCCACGAAAACAATTTAGAAAATATATTAAAACTATTATTGTTTGCAGTAGACTGTAAAGTTTTACGTTACGTCACGATCTAATCTGACAGCTCGCTCAAGGTAAATTGTACACGCCTCCTAGACGCAAGTTTTATGATTGGTAGTTTCTCCTTATCCGTGATAGGTTGCGCGTGCAACAGACAATGAATAAAAACCACAAACAATAAAAAAGTTGGACACATGCCATTTAATAACGCGTTTTCATATGTACATTTAACATCTTTTCTTAAATGTCACGGATTAATCTGAAATAAAAAAAAAAACTTGAAATTATGAAGTAGTAAATATAAAAGACCGGGATTTTTTTCTCTTACCATAAAAGTGACATGATTAAAAGTATGTAATTAATACATTAACTCACCCCATGGACACGGTTCGTTTGGATTTGGGGCCTTCCTAATGCCGCAGAAAACCGCACGGAGTTCGCCTCCAGAATGGACTGAGCTGGATTTCCTGTGTTAATATTTCGAGGTCTGGGACGTCCGCTGTCAAAATTCTTTTTTATTATTGTGGGAATCTTCAAATCAATCTCGTCACCTGCGTTTTGAACTTCTTTCGATAGCGCCATTTTAACAACTAAAGTCAAATGACTTTAACAACTTTTTTAACAACTAAAGTCAAAAGTAAAGATCTCCTGCAAAATTTGATTGACCAAACAAACAACGAAATAGTTCAAGCTACTTAAAAAAAACTCCATATTATGTATAAAATTAAAACTTGACCTTCAACCTTTTGTGCATTTTGCAGAGAATCAGGTACCCGCTGCATAAAAAAAAATTCCAAATTATGTTCAAAAATAAAACTTGACCTTCAACCATTTGTACAATAATTGTACAGAATCTATAGGTAAGGGAGAGACATCTAATTAAAAGCTAAACCCTGTTTATTTGAAGCTCAAAAATTAGTAACGTAGGGGCAGGGGCGTCATCGGGGGCTATTGCCTCTCTTTCAGATGGGGGGGGGGGGGAGAACAAGACTCCAACTGTGTTTTGTGCCTCGTCCACACATACTCACTTTGAGTGTAGCATCATATAGTTTGAACATCAGAGATTTAAAGATAGGCCTTGATGTGATATTGATGTGATGATCAATATAAGTACTGTGTAGATTGTTAAGAAGTTGAGGGATGTGGTAGGGGCGAGGACATACATGTATATTTGTGTACCGGGGTACAGTTTCTTTTTGTATCCCGCCACTTTACAATAGCAAATCTATTTAAGCATTGAATTCATATTTTTGGCTGTCTTCGGTCCTATAACACACCTGGCCGTGCCGACAAATTGAATACCGCGCGTTAGCGCGGTATGATAAATTTGTCGGCACGGCCAGGTGTGTTATAGGACCGAAGACAGCCAAAAATATGAATTCAATGCTTATATTTACATTCTCTAATTTTCCTTTTTCATAATTGCTTATTTCGTTAATCTTTAATGTGAATTTAGCGCCCTTCAAAATTGACGTGGTTAATAGACGTAAGAGCCGTTTGGGACGTCAGATGACGTTGCAAAGTTACATAAAGCAAACAAACATTGCGAGGGAAAAAAGTGACAAATTTATTTTAAACGCACATTTGTAGTATTTTTACGGTAATTTAACAGAATTATAGTCTTTAATTAAATTGAGTCAAAACATTGTCCATTTTGGTGTTCCTAGATTATAGAAAATGCATATAGTTCCTAGTGTGTATTCTAACGCGCGGTGACAAGGTTTCGCGTGTGTTATAGAAATTTGAATGTCGTGGATTTCTAATGAATTTCATAGGGAAAAAGACACGGAATGTAAATATTTTTGAATAAACTCCGTAGAAATGTAGTAACCAGGACAGGGAGGGATGGCCTTTTCACCTTTTTTCACACATAACTCTAACTATTGAAAATGTTCATTAAAAAACTGGTCCCCTCCCCCACTTTTTCAGTAAAAGTAAAATAAGGGTAATGTAGTATTGCATGAAAAAAAAGATACCGAAAGACGATAATATTTGAAAAAAGTTGGCTTAACCCCCCCCCCCCTTTTCAAGAAATTGATATCGAGTTTTGGTAAAAAAAAATATATTTCTTTTGCTTGTAAACTTTTTTTCAGGTATAAGTATTTTTTCTGGCTACCCCACTCCCGTATCGTAGAGATGTGGGTATACAAGTCTAATTAGATTAATAAAGCTGCGACTGACTTCCTTTATCTTTAAACAATCTGATTTTAGGACCCGATTCTACAGGGTATAAAGATAATTGAGAATAAATTTTAAAAAAGCGTTATATATAATTGGATTATCTTCTATCAGCAGTGTAGTTATTATTTTCATTTTGAATTTCAGAGAGACCATACAGCAATTATTTTTCCGGGACAGCGCTTATAATGACACCGAGCTTGTGTTTTTTAAAATGTTAAATCCAAAACTTTCATTGTCCAAAGAAAACACTCTCTGTATTCAATTTTTAAATAAATTATGTATACAATTTAGGTTTAATACTAGAAAATTGAGCTCTTCGCTTTTTATATTTATAAGAAAATTCAGTATTTCAGTATTTTATTTGAACCGGAGACATTACATCTCATAGGTAAACAATATTCATACATAAGATTTGTACAGGCTATACAATATACATGTAATAATTGCATAACAATATCATTTAATTATTATTTAGAACATCATTTTTTCCTACCAATTAAAACAAAACGTTCGGTGCATAATGAATTTCAGTTTCCGATAATTATAAAGAAATTAAATTATATATCCTAAGAGTTTTTAGTTATTTTTTTTTTATAATATTTGCTCATAGAGTTTAATTTTAATATTCACATACCGATAGCGCATAAAGATTACGGTGTTCTATGATATTATGATGATTTATTTCTTAATAAGCATTAAAAAAATGTTCAAATATTTAAAATAAAAAAATAAGCATTCTGAGTTGTTCGTCCAAACTTTTGATGTAATACTTGATTCCGCTTAAAAATGAGTTGACCAATCAAACAGATCTTCTGTCGTGGGCCTGAATTGTTTACGCTGAGCGCATCTGTCAAACTAGATTGTGAGGAACGTAAAACTTTACAGTCGATTGCAAACAATAATAATTTTATATGTATGCAGTACATGTACGTATACCTAATGTCTTTAATGTCAACCAGCACAAAAAAAAACTATTGAATAACATGCTGGATGCCATATATCTCTCTCACTCCTTTCACTGGGGGGGGGGGGGGGGGGGGGGGCGTTGACCCTACATTACTACATGACTATAAATTAGCGCAGTTTTCCGCACATGAACCTCTCAGCTATTGCAGTTCTGCTGTGGTCAATTCAATTTCTCACATGAGGGCGCTGACCACGTGCACAAGCTTTAAGCGGCACTTACACGTCTATCATCATGTAGATTTTAAGAATGACTGTCTAACTGTGTTTTCTTAACTTCCATTATCAAAGTGAAAAGAAAATGATCATTCTTCGTAATAGTAAGATCATATGAAGAGAAATCTTCGTCATGAAGAATGGGCGGAGCGAAGATCATATGATCTTACTG